ACTGGAAAGAGCACCTATGTGGTTCTGTTGGTTAAACGTCCAGCTCTTGATCTCAGCCCAGGTGTTGATCTCATGGTCGTGAGTTGAAGCCTGGCGGTGGGCTCCACACTGGGCATGGAGCCTACTTAAAAAAAAAAAAAAAGAAAAGAAAAGAAAATTGCAATTGGACTAGGTAAAACCTATGAGTTTGCAGTTTACTGACCATGGGGTATAACTCAACCCCCAAAGCTACAGAAACCACTGGTGGGAAAAGCTGAAAAATTACCAGTTAAAGGTGTCAGAGATCAGATTTAGGATTAAGAAAGTAGCTGGAAAGTTAAAGCAGCATAAGAACCACAGAATGAACCAAACTCAAATTCAGAGCAACTGCCCAAATCCCTAGCTTACAACTAGCCTACACATGAGTGAAGGAGCCCCCACGGAACCCAACAAGAAATATGTCAAAGACCAGAGAGATAGTTTGAAAAATGGCACCACACAGGATCAGATCTGAGAGTTTGGTGCTTTTCTCAAATATAGACATTCCTCAACTGAGACAGCTCAAGTGGCAGAGAGCTGAAGCCAAATGGGCTTGAACAGTGAAAGTACAGAACCCCAAACCAGCAGGAGCCAAAAACAAACAAAACAAAATAAAACACAAAACCACAAAAAAAAAACAGGAAAGGTAAGCCAAATCCATATTCAAATCTTTGGCCACCAAATCTGCAGGCACAGCGAAGACCTCTACAGGGCCAGGCTAAAGAAACAGCCATGGGAAGTCACACAGACAGATGTCAGCAGCTATAGATCACAAAGGAGACAAAGTCTACCATTTAAATCTAGGCAGGTTGAACAGCTACTAGATCAAAAATCTAAAAATCCTCAGAAAACACACACCAAAAAAATTAGTTGTTACACTATATCTGCAACATCTAATTTTCAACCAAAAATTATTCAACATGAAAAAAAAACAGGGAAGTATGACCCATACTCAAGAGGGGGAAAAAAAAAAGGTAGTCGATATAACTAATTTTAAATAGACCCAGATGTTGAATTTTGCAAAGGCCTCAAAATGGCTTTACAAATATATTCAAAGTATTGAAATAAAATAATTCAAAAAGTTAAAGGGAAATATATGGAAAATCTCAACAGAGAAATAGCAACTACAAAAAATAATATAAATTCTAGAGCTTAAAACTACAATAACTAAAAATTTTCAATGGGCTCAACGACAGACTGGAGATGGCAAGCGAACTTGAATATGTGCCAGTAGAAATTATCCAACAAAGAAAAATGTTTGAAGAAAAACGAATAAAACCTCTGAGACAAAACTTAAGACACTATGAAGCACCCCAGCATACACACAACTGGAATCCCAGGAAAAGAACAATGAAAGCAGAATTTTTTTAAAAATTGAAGAAATAATGGCCCAAAACTTCCAAAATATGGTAGAAAACATAAAGATTCAAGAAGCTCACCACACCTCAAGATAAACAAAAATAAAATCATTCCTAGACACACACTACAGTCAAACTACAAAAAAGCTAAAGTTAAAGGGAAAACTTTGAAAGCCATCAGAGAAACCTACATGTTATGTATGAGGGAATAATAATAAATAACTGGCTGACTTTTCACCAGAAACTATGAAAGCCAGAAGACTGGAAAAACATATTCAAAGCACTGAAGGGGGTTGGGGAGGATTATCAGTAATAATTCTATATCCAGCTAAACTACCCTTCAAATATGACTGCAAAATAAAATAGATTTTCAGTAAACAAAAACTGAGATATTAGTTGCCAGCAGAACCACACTACAGCAAATTCTAAAGGAAGTACTTCGACCTAAAGGAAAAATGACACTGAATGGCAAGTGGGACCTATATTAAAAATTTTTTTAAAGATAAGTATGTGAGAAAGATTTTAACTGTATTTATTTATTTTAAAACATATGACTACTAAATTAAAAATTATAAATCCATAATGATAGGTTTATAACATAAACAGATCTAATATATAACAATAACACTATGTAAATAAGAGGTAAACAAAAATATACTGTTGCAAGATTTCTGTATTTCATCTGAAGTAATTCAGTATTAACTGTAAGTAAATTGGGAAAACTTTAAGATGCATATGTGATCCCTGGAGCAAAAACTAAAAATTTAAAAATGCAAAAATATAGAACTAGAAAGCCAATAGAGAAATTAAAATGAAATACTAAAAAATATCTGATTAAAATAAAAGAACACACAAAGGAGGGACAGAGGAACAAAAAATACAGAAGACACAAAACAAACTGCAAAAGGGAAGACCTCAGTATATATCAATAATTAAATGTAAGTGGACTAACACTCCATTCAAAAGACAGACTTTTTTTTTTTTTTTTAAACAGACATTTTTAAGACTAGGTTTAAAATCCAAGGCCCAGGGATGTCTGTGTGGCTCAGTAGGTTAAGTGTCTCAGGTCCCAGGTCTCAGGTTCCTGGGATTGAGTCCTGCACTGGGCTCCTTGCTCAGTGGGGAGCCCGCTTCTCCCACTGCCTGCCACTCCCCCTGCTTGTGTGAGCATGCAAATGCTCTCTCTCCCTCTCTGACAAATAAATAAAATCTAAAAGTAAATAAATAAATAAATAAAATCCAAGACCGAGTTGTATTCTGTCAACAAAATATATGCTTCAGATAATAAAGACATAAACAGACTAACAGTAAAAAGCTACAAAGAATGTATTCCATGCAAACAATAAGCATAAGAAAGATGATGGGTCTATATATTAATATCAAACAAAACAGACTTCATAACAAGAAATATTACTGAAGACAATTGGGGACTTCATAATGATAAAATGGTCAATATATCAGGTAGGTATAACAATCATAAATATAGATGTAACTGATAACAAAGCTTCAAAACACTTAAAGTAAAAACTAACAGAACTAAAATGAGAGATGAATCCACAATCATAGACTTTAACAAACTCTCAGAAATTGATAGAACTAGACAAAAATACCAGTAAGAATGCAGAAAATCTAAATGACATTATTAATTACCTTATCCCAACTGATATTCCCAGAACACTAAACCCAATACCTGCAGAATATACACATTTCTTCAAGTCCACAGGGCATGTCTACCAATACAGACCATATAAAGGGCCATTAAACAATTCTCAATAGTTTCTAAAATCTTAAAATGTAATAGACTACATTCTCTTACTGCAACAGAATTAAGTTAGAAATCAAAAATAAATAAGTAAAACATCTGAAGTATCTGGAAATTTAAAACTTACTTTAAAGAACTCATAAAAATCACAAATTAGAAAATATTTTGAACTGAATATAATGAAAATTGGTAAATTGATAAAAAATAGATTTCATCAAAATTTCAAATGTCTGCTCTCTGAAAAATACTGTTGTGCCAAAATGAAAATGTTTTCCAAATACATATCTGATAAAGAACTGCCATCTATAACATACGAAGAAACTGCAATAAGCAAACAACCCAATAAAATATGGGCTAAAATATTTAACAGACACTTAAAGAAGATACGTGACCATCAACAAAGCACATGAAAACATAATCAATATCGTTCACGATTAGGGAAATGCAAATTAAAACCAAAATTAAATACTACTTCCCACCTTGTAGAATAGGTAAAATTAAAAAGACTCACAATACCAAGTATTGGCAAGGAAATCTCACACATGGCTGGTGGCAACATGTATGTAATTATTCTAACAGAAATATTTTTATTCTGTCTCTCCAAAAATAAGCTAATCCAGCAAAAGACAGTAAAAAAAAAAAAACGTCTGAATTGGAAAGGTATACCTGAAGCATATATTCTACTGGTTTGTACTTCTTAAATGAAATAAATTGAGTAACTAAAATTCAATTGCCACTTAAAAAAAATCAGTTCATGGATGAAACGGCGTGACCCAGTAAGCAGCTTCAGAGAACTTTCCACCAAATTTGTGGAATTCATCAAAAATGAAGAAGAGGCAGAAATCCAAGCACCTAGTCTAGTCTGCCTCAGCTCGACATCTTAAGGTCCTCCTTCCACTCTGAGTTCTGGGTCAGCCTCTGGAAGAACAAGGCAGATACAACCAACCTCTCTACTTGAGTATCTGGACTGACCTTGACAAACAGTTAACTACCAGAGTTACTTGCATGGGAAACTGGTCATCTCACACTGAGAGGGAGAAAAGGGAGAAAAGTGGATTTCCTCCATCCTGGACCAGTGGAACAAACACAGTGTGAACAAAGCTCAACACCATAATCAGCCTTCCGAACCCCCTGAGAAAAACATGTAAACCAGGAGAACAGCATGTCCGTGGTGCTTCACCAGGAAACTTTATTCTTGCTCAAATTTAGGACTTAATAAGAACTGAAGGACAGGGCTGGGACTGCTTGGAGTAGAGATGTTGACAGCTTTTTAAAAAACTCAAGAAAGCATTAAAGAAAACAACTTTAAAGAAAGAGACCAAATCCCTGAGGCAAAATGGTCCTAATATCACACTCACTTCTCATCGCAGCCCCTAAAAATAAGTCCCAGTATTTTACCCTGACCTTGATATCATGGCCGACCTCCCCCTCCTCTGAGGTAATGTCTGTAAATCTGGGCATCCAGTGTGCTTTTGAGCCACATGTCAGCTATTAGCAATGGTATTTTTCCTGACGGCTAATTGGTAACATTAAAGAAAAGAAATGAAGAGCATCATGTTTTGCAGAGTCATTTTACACCATTAGCAGCAATAAACATTTTATGAGGGACATGGCACTGCCTGGGAATCAAAAGGACACGGTTTTCACCCTATTTGCCAGTAAAATGAGCAATGAGAAAATGAAATCCATACCTTGGGTTTACTTGGGTTTATTTACAGGACAGCTGAATTAGTGACACTTCCTGTGCCAGAAGATTCTCTCCAAGGAACACTTGTGCTGAGGGAGTCCTCGGAGGCAGGCAGACATCTAGGGAGCCTCCCCACCCCACCCCTCCCCCCGACCTGGGGCAGCGTGTCCCTTACCTTTCCTTTTGGTTGTGTAAAATCCAACAGCTGATCCATCCCGCCACAGAATCTTTGCTTGCTCCTTCACAGAGTGAGGTAAAAAAAACATGTCACCATCATCCAAATTTCTCTCCAATCTTCCAAAAATAACGACGTTTAGAATGAAAAGCACAATCCTTTCCCCAAATGACTGAACCTTTGAAGGGAAAAAAATAAATAAATAAGAAAGAAAGAACAAGCAAGTGAGAGAGGAAAATCACATGCGATAAATTTTGCACTTGGAACCAACCCACACATCGGGGCCAGGTGTGTGCGCCATCACACGATTCCGTTCATGCTCAAGAGCCAAAATGTGAATCATAGTCCCTCACGGGGGTTTTCACAACCCTGACCTTTCGCACCCATCGGCCTCCAGGAGTGAGGGGCAGTGCCCAGAGGGGTCTCCCGGGGTCCCTCCCGGGCCACCTATATGGAATGTAAGTAGACAGAGGACAATCCATTGCAGGTCAAAAAACAAGAAGTTACCTCTGGAGGGGCACGCAAGGCATTTCAGCAGATCCCCTGGATGTGTCTAGAAATAAATCCAATCCGCCATTTTTAATAACAGTCCCAGAATTCTGGCCCTCAGAAGGATGGTAAAGAATTGGGGGCATCAAAAAAAAAAAAAAGAATTGGGGGGATCAATGGCTACATCAGAAGCAGATGATTTTCAATGGTTTGTGATGTGGTAGATCTGGAGCACACACTACAGTCCCAACCCCAGAGAATTACGGGGAGTCAAGGGCCATCTTGTTCTAAGGCTATAAAATGAAACCACTTCTTGCCTCCCACAATGTCATGACAGGTGAAGAAACTATGTGGTCAAGGTCAGGCCCACACAGAGCTTTAGCATTAACAAGTCAAAATGACTTCATGGTGCCGCCTGTTAAAATTTTCTGCATTTGTATAGCCCACAGGTGGCAAATATGTGGCATAAACAGAGGCCTCCAGCTCCGGCACCCACAGCAGACATAACTAATCAATCCTACTCTATGTGGCTGAGCCTGGACATGGTCACAGAGTCCTTCTAAATGCATTCCTCCAGACAACCACAAGCCAGCACTCAATGTGATTCTTCAGATGAACCCAGTCAACTGTTGATCAAGTGACAGTATTGTTTTATTAGATTGTAACTCTGACAAGACTTCTATGTGACAGCCTGCTTGTGTGGGCATTTTTCACCCATCCTATGCATCACCATGAGATCTGCAATGCCATTAAATGGGCTGTGACTTCCACCCACAAGCTAGCATTCGAGTCTCTTACCCACTGGGGAGGTCCTGATTTGTAAGTAAGGAAATTGAAACTCAAGGAGGGTAAGTGACTACATTTATTGATTTCCCTGCCTCATTCCAAAGAGGACTTATATGACAGCTGGATGAGGGCTCTGTCAGAGGCCGGCAGGCTCAAAACAATAGGCCAGGGCTTCTGAGTCCCAGCCTGGTGTACCTGCGACAGCCCAGCCCATGGTTGCCTTCTGCATCTTCATCCATTACAACCAAGGTTTTGGAAATGGGAAGTTTAATATAAATATCTACACTTAGTTTTATATTGAATACTTAATCCTTAAAGTTTTATCATCATCATCATCATCATCATCATCATCATCATCATCATGGGTGACTGTGGCTTCTTGGCCTGTGGATTTGCCGAAAGATCTTTAGCAATGCCAACTCTCTGAGCCTCAGTTTCTTCCACTGGTCAAAAACACTTGTTTTTGGGGAAGGGTGGGTAAAACAAACAAACAAACAAACAAAACACTTGTTTTCAAATGCTCTAATAAAAAATAAGGCAGCTTGCTGCCCTCTCGCAAATGGCACAAAGTGTTTGGTGCCAATAAATTTATTAATTGGTCCAGAATGTAAAACAGTTCACCTTCATCTGGAGCCAAATCTTAACTGAGGAAAAGCTTTGTGAAAACCACACCTGCTCAGCTCTGAGAAGCCACCCCAATTTTGTATCTCAGACAGTAGCAGCCAAATCCAGTTCAGACGTGAAGAATCACTAGCTGGTCACAAAACCTGAGTGGGGTGATGTGGGAGGTTATATTTTTCAACTTATAAAACCAAAAAGTTCAGAGGAAAGCCAGAAGAGAAAAGCAGATTGCATCTGGCAGAAAGGAAATATCCAATCAAAAACTGGCAGGAGAAAAAGGAGGAAAGAAAATGCACTTAATTTATCCAATTTCATTACGGGGCGGGGGGAGAAATGTGTGTGATTCTGACTTAGAAACGTTTCTGGAAACACAAAACCAAGATCCAGTTCTAATCCCTCAATTAGGACTAGTAATTATGTTAACAGAAAGAACATTAAGCCTTTTTTTTTTTTTTGGTAATTTATGAATAGCTGGCTAAGAAACAAAATGTAATTAAGAGAGAAAAAAAAATCAAGACCCCATATTCTACAAATGGAGAGGGAAACTATCTCCCTAGATGAGGCAGATCGATCTTTACAACACGGTTCATTAAGTGCAAGTGGCATCCAAGTTTCTTTCTGTCCATAACATAGGCCACATTTTCAGAAAATCTGGGGTTTCCCTCATCTAAACATGGAGGAATGGACACACGGAAGAAGTGACCACTCTTGTTCTGGGGAAAAAAAAAAAATATTTAAAGAGCAAGTCAGACTCCTCCTGGCATTCAGAACCCCAACCACTAAATACCTCTGGCCCACCTGTGGGAAGGGGACGGAACAGCAAGATAAATGAGTACGCCAGGCCATCCCATTGGGTACCCCACACTCATTGGCTGAATCTCAAGCCACTGTTAAATTTGCTGGGGGTGGGAGGAGGGGACACTTTTAAAAACAGTATCTACTGAGTCAATTAAAACCAGACCTGAGGGCACCTGGGTGGCTTAGTCGTTAAGCCTCTGCCTTCGGCTCAGGTCATGATCCCAGAGTCCTGGGATTGAGCCCCGCATCGGGCTCCCTGCTCAGCGGGGAGCCTGCTTGTCCCTCTCCCACACCCCTGCTTGTGTTCCTTCTCTCGCTATGTCTCTCTGTCAAATAAATAAATAAAATCTTAAAAAAAAAAAAAAAAACAGACCTGAAAATACCCTGCTGTTTGCAACAATATGGATGTAACTAGAGGGCATTATACTAAGTGAAGTAAGTCAGGCAAAGACAAGTACTGCATGATCTCACGTGCATGTGAAATCTTACAAAACCCAACTCATCGGAACAGAGAATAGAATGGTGATTACCAGAGGCTGGGGGTGGGAGAAGAGAGATGTCGGTCAAAAGGTACAAACTTCCAATTATAAGATGAATAAGTTCTGGGAATCTAATATACAGCAGGGTAATTATAGCTAATAATACTGTATTATATTAAAGTCGCTAAGAGAGTAGATCTTAAATGTTCTCATCACAAAAAAAAAATGGTAATTATGTAATATGATGCGGGTATTAGCCAACACCATGGTGGCCATCATTTTGCAATATGTAAGTATTTCAGATCAACATCTTCTACGCCTCAAATTTACACAATGTTTATGTCAGATATATCTCAATAAAGCTGGGAAGGGAAAACAGGCATGAAAAAGACAACCCACAGACGGGAAAACAATATTTGCAAATCAAATATTGCAATACATGCAATAAGGACTTGCATCCAGAATATATGGAAAATGTTTACAACTCAACAGTGAGACGTCAAATAATCCAATTAAAAAGTGGGCCAAGGATTTTAATAAATATTTTCCCAAAGGGGATATACGAATGGCCAATAAGTACATGAAAAAATGTTTAACACCCTTAGCCACCAGAGAAATGCAGCTCAAGACCACAATAAGATACCACTTCCCACCCAGTAGGATGGAGAGCATTAAAAAAACAGACAATAACAAGTGTCAGGGAGGACATGGAGAGATGGAAGCCATCAGATGTTACCAGTGGGACTGTTAAACGGTGCACCTGCTGTGGAAAACAGTTCGGTGGTTCCTCAACAAGTTATATAGAGAATTACCATATGACCAGCAATTCTGCTCCTGGGTATATACCCAAGAGAATTGAAAATATATAAGCTCACAAAAATTTATGCACAAATGTTCATAGTGGCATCGTTCCTAATGACCAAAAGGTGGGAAAAACTCATGTGTCCATCAACAGATACACGGATAAACATACATGCTGTAGCCATGCAGTGGGATATGATCCAGCCATAAACAGGAAGGAGGCTCTAACGCACACTACAATGTGGATGAACCTTGAAGACATTATGTTCAGTGAGAGATGCCAGACACAAAAGCCTACATATTATACAATTCCAGGGATGCGAAATGTCCAGGATAGACAAATCCACAGAGACAGAAAGCAGGTTCCTTGCCAGGGGCTGGGGCAAGAGGGAAATGAGGGGTGACTGCTGAAGGGTAAGGGGTTTCTTTTGGGGGTGATGAAAACATTCTAGAATTCAATAGTGATGACTGATGCACAACTCTGCAAATATTGAAAATCACTGAATTGTATACTTTGAAAGGGTGAAATTTATGGTATGTGAATTATATCTCAATGAAGTTGTTGTTTAAAGGGGAAAAAACTGAATTTGTTTTTGTTTTTGTTTTTTTAAATTGTTCAAGAGAAGGAAAAAACCCAGATTATCAATTTGTTCTCTAAACCAAACCCAAAAGAATACTGATACTTCATTCAGTACTTGTAGATCCCAATGAGGGAGATCAAGTGGAATTCCAAACAACTGTGGACAGATCCACCATTTCAAGACTGCCAAGAAGTCAAATGAAAATGGACAGACGTGAGGCAAATAGTCCAAATTCTTCACTAGTTACTACCTTTCTCGTCGGCCGGTGACCCAGCCAAACTGCAGTTGAGCGGACACCACAGGGACTCCAAGGTGCTGCTGTGGCACCTGCCCTCACCCCTGCCATCCTAGGTTTTGGCTTTACAATGGCTCCATACAGCCACAGCCCATTAAAGACCTCCAGGGCTGACGTCAATGAGACTGGAGTTTGTGTCCAGTTCAATCACTCTCTAGCTGTGTGGCTCAGCCTCAATTTCTGCATCTGCAAAACAAATATCTTGAGGATTCTAAAATTAGATAATCCCTATAAAGAGTCTGAGGACATAGGCGAGTACCTAACACAATATCTGACTCAGAGTAAGTACCAAAAAACATGACTTGGATGCAATAGGCAGAATTTTCCTACACACTAGAGAGACGATGGGGATTTAAGTTTTAAAACGAAGACATGGGAGGCCACTCAGGAAGGTAAGAGACATCTGCCAATAGCCTGATGCCTGTTGCATACAGCCTTTTATTACTATTTTCCTTAGTGGCAGGGCATTCTAGATTGAATCTCATCCCCCAGAAAGTTGTTGCAAGCCCTAACGCCCAGTACTTGGGAATGTGACTTATTTAGACATAGAGTCTCTGCAGATGATCAAGTGAAGATGAAGTCATTAGGGTGGGCCCTAATCCAAGATGATTGGTGTCCATATAGAAAGGAGGGATCTGAACAGAGAGAGACCCTCACCGAGGGAAGATGATGTGAAGACATGGGGAGAAGGTCATCTCCAGGCCAAGGAACACCTGAGGCCCCCAGCAGCCAGGACAGATGCCTGAAACAGATTCTCCCTCACGGCCCTCAGAAGAAACCCTGGTTTGGGTGCCTGGGTGGCTCAGTTGGTTAAGCGACTGCCTTCGGCTCGGGTCATGATCCTGGAGTCCCGGGATCGAGTCCCGCGTTGGGCTCCCTGCTCAGCAGGGAGTCTGCTTCTCCCTCTGACCTTCCTCCTTCTCATGCTCTCTGTCTCTCATTCTCTCTCTCTCAAATAAATAAATAAAATCTTAAAAAAAAAAAAAGAACAAGATCTGTCATTTTAAAAAAAAAAAGAAGGAACCCTGGTTTCAGGCTTATAGTCTCAGGGCCTATGAGACAACAAATTTCTGCTGTTTCAGTGCCCCCCGGTCTGTGAAACTTTGTTTCAGCAGCCCTAGAAGATTAAACACCAAGGCAGACTGCTTTCAATTATTAACATGATAATAAGCACAGTGACTTTAAAACCTGTTTTGCACTATTTCAGTCTACACCACCTCACCTTCATCAGACCTTCTCTAGCAGGATCAGAGGTTCGTAGGACGTCTTCGGTGGGCCACCAGGACTCCTTTATGTAAACAGCCACCACTAAAGAGAAAGCCAAGAGAAAATGATGATATGCGCGCAGCCAGCCGGCCACCAGAGGAGCAGTTTCAACAGCCTGCAGCCACTGTTAAGGTGAACAGACAAGTACGTGTAGGTAAAGCAGGTGATGTTTCTAGAGCTAAGTTCTCCAAGAGCACTGACCAAGACAGAGTGACCACTCTCACCCGAAGGTCTTCACAGAGGTCTTCACAGATGGCCTGTTGCCACCTCCAAAACAGGAGGTGTGTGTCCCGATGTTATTGGGCAAAAAGCCCTACACACCAAATTTGATGGAAAAGAATTACATCTTTTTTTTCCAAAGTCCAGTTATGTGCCACAACTCAGAACTCCCCATGGAGTCAAATCCAACATTACTGAAAGGCATCGAGCACAGAATCTTTTTTTTTTAAGATTTTATTTATTTGAGAGAGAGAGAGCATGAGCAGGGGGAGGGGCAGAGGGAGAGAGAGAAGCAGACTCCCCACTGTGCAGGGAGCCTGACGTGGGGCTCGATCCCAGGACACTGAGATCACAAGATGAGCTGAAGGCAGATGCTTAACCGACGGAGACACCCGGGCGCCCCTTGAGCACAGGATATTCTTATCGCCCTCAGCACTGGGCCTGGTACTGGCTTCTTTTCCGTGATTTTTTTTTCCCTTCCCACAGTGATACTGTCACCTGCATTTTTCTGAGGAGGACACTGACACTCTGAGAGGTAAAGTAGCCTGAAGGCAGCCGGTGAGGGGGGCCTGAGGTGGGTCCACCCCTGAGCCATGGACTCCAAGTGCAGTGCTCTCTCACAGAGGCCAGAACTAAGTCAGCTGGTAGGAAATGGGGTGAATCATGCAAGGGTGGTGGGGGTGCCTTTGAATAAGGAGGCTCTGGGGCTGGATCTGCAGGAGAAGGAAGAGAGACATCTCTCCTCCCCCCTACTCCTGCCCCACCCCAATCTAGACAGTCCCTGAGGCCTGTGGATTCCACCCATTCCATGTTTGGACAAGGGTCCTGCTATTGTAGGGGTGACCTTGGAACAACCTCAACCTCACTAAGCCCCAGGCTCCTCATCAGAGTTGCCCAAACTGATCACCCAAGGTGGCTGACAAGTTCCAGCGAGGACTGGGTGCGAAACACCCACCATAGAGCCCCGTGTGTCAAACTGCTCGGTGACAAGTGATCAATGTCAGCTCTCCCCCCCCCCCCGCCCCACCCATGCCCCTGCCACCAAATCAATCAGTTCCACCTGCCACCTCGTGATGGGCTCCATCCCCTCCTCCCCAACCCCAGATGCCAGCAGGGTCCAGGCCACCATGCACAGAAGACCGTGATAATACCTCACCTGGTTCCCTGCCTCAGTCTCCCCCACTGATCCATCCCTACCAAGTGGCCACTCCAAAGGCAAATCTAATCATAGGGATTCCATTTAAACACCAAAGTTACTTCAGTTATTTTCCGATATATTTTTTTTAATTAAGATCATTTTTTACAGCAGTTTTAGGTTCACAGCAAAACTGACAGGAAGGTACAGAGACTTCCCATGTACCCTCTGCCCGCACATACATATAGCATCCCCACCATCAACATCTGCACCAGAGTAGAAACATTTATTACAACTGATGAACCGACACAGACACACCAGAGTCACCCAAAGCCCATGATCTACATTAGAGTCCACTCTTGTTCTACATTCTATGGGTTTGGACAAATGTGTAATGACATGCATCTATCATTATGGTATCATACAGAGTATTTTCACTGCCCTAAAAATTCTCTGGTCTCCATCTATTAACCCCTTGATCTCATCCCCCACTCCACCCCTGGGAACCACTAATTTTTTTTTTTAAGTCTCTATACTTTTGCCTTTTCCAGAATGTCATTTAATTGGACTCATACGGTTTGTAGTCCTTTTCCGATAGGCTTCTTTCACTTAGTAATAAGCCTTTAAGTTTCCTCCCGGTCTTTTTCTGGCTAGAGATCTCGAAAATCTTTTTTAGCACTGAATAATACTCCATTGTCTGGATGTACCATAATTTCTCCTCTGGTATCTTTTTTTCCTACCCCTTTTATTTAAAAAAATGCCATTTTTATACCATCTTCTCAAGCCAGGCGTCTGAGGCTGAGGGGTCCAGAAGCCATACAATAAAAAGATGACCTTCCCAGTCAAATCTTTTTAGCTGAAGATGTGTAGGAAAATAAGATGGAACAGAAAACAACAGTCATTTGGACATTTATATAAGGCTCAAGACTTTAAAACCAATTTTGTGGGCCAATCAGGTTAAGCCTGCTACCACCTTCTTCCCTATTTCTGTCTGCTCTTTGAGGAACTTTAGTAGAAAATTCTGTAAGGACCAGGTTACAATGACATTAGTCAGTTATTAAGCATTAACTCTGCCCAGCCAGCCCCACCTCCCCAAAGACCAATAGCGTCTAATCCACTATGTCAGTTTCATATCATTGGTGAATTACATCATCAACAATAGTTCCAAAATTGATTGAGCTGGCTGAGAGAGAAGGGCCAATTAAATGTTTGACACCTGCCTTCATTTATTCAATTAAATTCATGTTCAAAATAGCACCTACTAGAACTTACAGTTGGTTTATAAAGCCATAAGGATTATTTTCCTGCTTAACAAGGTGAATCAATAAAAGATGTTCCATTTACTAGTATGGTGTATTACTGTAATACAGATGTTCAATTTGCTAAGACAGTTTCAAACAGGACACGTGTTATGATTTGGCATTTGTGTGGCGCCTTGCAAGTTTCACGGTGTACTGCAGAACATTAATTAGTCACACAAGTTGTCACAAATTAGATTGAACTGTTTTTTTCAAAATGAATCTGAAGCTGCTAAGGATACATAACAATGAAGGGGAAGTCCAATCAAACTTAACAGGCCTAAAATAAATTGTCCTCCAAACCAACTCTTAAAAAAAAACAGAATCAGCCTTCTGGAAATGAGCAGCTTTTGATCAGAGAAGCATAATTCCTAGTCAAGAGGAAACCGTAGGAGAGAATGGTGGCAGAGGCCTGGGAGAGAGACTGTATCCAGCTCAGCAAGGACAAGGGACAGATCCTGGGCACTGCAGAATCAGCCTCAGGGCATCACTTGAGCCCCTGAAGCCAACAAGTTCCAAGAGTTAGAAAGTGGAAGGCACACATCTGTGGTCTTAAAAGAAAAAAATTGATCCGTCTCCTCTAGGCTGTCTCCCATGTAGGGCCTGAGCAGAGACTGGACGCTCATAGAAGGCTGTCCAGGGGTGACAACAATCAACAGGGCGTTGTGAGTTAAAAGCCAGTCTCGCTGCATGAATTTAATTTCTCTGCGCCCCCAAGTGACAGGTGATGTGGACCTCAGAGAAATGTCAGTAATGGATTCTATTCTGGGACACTCCAAGGTTTCCCAAACAAGTTAAGACAGCAAGGTCCCTAAGCCTAAATCCCAGCGGCCTGGCTTCATTGAAGCCCAGCATGGTCAACTGTATTCAACTACCTGAATTCAATCCCTGCATGCATGAACAGTGCTGTCTGTCCTAGGCTCCCAGCAGCTGATGAGTAAGTCCCCATCCTTGCCCCTGAGGGTTGGCAGGCTGCAGAGGAAGAGAGCGAGCGATAATCAAGCTGCCCCAGTATAGGCCGAGGCATGAAAGGTGCTGAACTCGAGATGGGAGCCAACGTGTCATCGGGACCCAGAAGAGAGAGGCAATTCTGTGGAGGGGTGTTGGGAAGGCATCCCCAGGGATTTCAGACAGCTCGGGTTCTGGATCGATGGGTAAGGCTTCAACAGGCAGAGACAACAGGCAAGGGCGCTACAGGCAGGGTAACCTGTGAGCAGAGGCACAGAGCCCTACAAGTTCAAGGCCGCTCTCAGGGCATCTCAACAGCAGGGATAGCTGGAATGAGGCCTAAACAATGGAAAGACAGGGCTGCAAACATTGATGACAACAAGGTTTCAGAATACAAAGCTAATACACAAAAGCCAACTGCTTTCCCACACACCAGCCATGAACAAGTAGAATTTGAAAATAAAAAACACAATACCATTTATATCAGCACCTCCAAAAATGAAATACTTAGGTATAAATCTAACAATATATGTACAAGCTCTACCAGGAAAATTATAAAACACAGAAAAACAAAATCAAAGAACTAAATAATGAGACAGTCTATGTTCATGGATAAGACGACTCAATATTGTCAAGATGTCAGTTCTTCTCAATTTGATCTATTGATTCAAATCAATCCCAATCAAAATCCCAACAAGTTATTTTGTGGATATCAACACACTGATTCTAAAGTTTATACGGAGAGGCAAAAGACCCAGAATAGCCAACACGAGATTGAAGGAGAATTTGGAGGAATGACCCTACCCAACTTCAAGACTTACTATAAAACTGCAGTAATCAAGACAGTGTAGTTTGGTGAAAGAAGAGACAAAAAGATCAATGGAACAGAATGAGGAGCCCAGAAATAGTCCCCCATAAATACAGTTCACTGACCTTTGAGCAAATACAATAAAATGGAACAAAGAAAGTCTTTCCAACAGATGGTGCTGGAACAGCTGGGCGTCCACACACATAGAAATGAAGCTAGACACAGACCTCTCGCCCTCACAAACATCATCTCAACAAAATGTGAGCTTCATCCACTCACCAATCTCTAACGGACTTTGCTGCCAGTGGAGAGCAGGATGACATAAAGCACTTGATGTGGCCCCACGCACCCGTGTAGGGAAAAGACCACAGCCTTCAGAACCAGATGGGGTTCAAATTCTGGCTTCTCTAATTACAAGTTATGTGACCTTAGCCCCCTCCCCAGCCTCAAGTCCCCCACCTGTCAAGTGGAGACCACAACATCCTCCCACCTGATCATTACCCAGGTTAGGTGAAAGAGTTCCCCTCCTCAAACTGCTTTTCCTAAGGTGTTGGAAGCTTGTCAGTGGTTTCCAGAAATTTCCTCCACTTGCTTCAAGTGGTGCGCTGGGATTTTGAAGAAGTATGAAAAGCCC